CGTGGGTAAGGGCCACCGCCTCTTGCCATTCCAGGCCTTTGCAGGCAGCCTGGCCCCCTCCCCAGCCTCGTGCTTCATCGCCCCTCCCTCACCAGCACGCCCTTCTGGCTCACTCCCTCTGAGCAGGCAGGCACCTTCGCTCTTCCAGGCCTTGGCACATCTGGTGTGTCTGCCTGGAATGTTCCTCCTGCCCCTCCCTCTGCTGGCTAACTTTCCTATGTCACCACCTCTGGGGAGCCTTCTGAGAGTCCCCCAGGCAGCTTTTTGAGTCTGCAAAAGCCCTGGGCCCACTGTGTCACCATTCCTTGAATATGCATCTGGTCTGGTGAGCCCTCTGGGTCCCAGGACTTCATAGGTAACTTTATTAATGTCCTCCCAGCTCCCAGCTTGGGGCTGGTACTCAGTGACATTGGAATGAATGTCAAATGAATGAATATAGCCTGGGGAAGGAGGGCTCCGTTTGGAATCAGGAAGTGTGAGCTCAAGTCCTGGCTATACCACTTCCATTGGGGGGCAGGGGGCGGTAGCTCAGCTTGGGCAGGATCCTGGAGGTGCTCACATGGAGCCCTGGGCCAGGTGGGGTGCCACTAGACTGGGGGAGCAATGTGCTGAGGGGTAAGTGAGTGTGGGGTAGGGATGGGGATAAAATAGGTAACAATTGGAATGGCCTGGGTGCCATCCATCAGGGCACTTCCTGGCACTTGAGCCAAAGCAGGGCCTCCAGGTTGCCATGCTGTGCCAGGCCTGCCCGTTAGTTATTGGTCCTCGGGAGGAGTGGGTCCTCTGGGAGAGGCGGCGGCGGCGGCGGCTGCTAACTGCACAGGGGACTCACTACTCCAACCACCGGAGCAGTGGCAGCAGGGGGTCCCTGCCGGCCTGAGGCCCTTCCCTTCGGGTTGGGCGAGGGCTGGCCGGAGGCGTGGTGCCCCCTGCTCAGCGGGGCCTTTTCTATGTTCCAGGGGATGCGGTGAAGAACACCAGGCTTTCAATATATGCCAAGTGCCAGCCCATCACAGAAATCTTTCACAGCAAATGTGGCGTCTTCCATTTTCCTCGGCGAACAGATCAGCTAATGTGAACTCAGCGGGATTCAGAAGTGGCTTCTTCCTTTGCCCTCGTCCAGCTGGACCCAGCGGAGGGGAGATGCTGCGCCACCCGCCCTCCCTGTGCTGGCAGCCCGTGCCTGCTGGGCACCCCGGGACTCAGGGTGGCCCACCTGCTGCCTCCGTCTGCCCTCGGTGACCGCAGCTCCTCACAGAGCTCCCACCACCATCCCCAGCCTGTGCCACCACCAGGGTCAAACCCGAAACCCAAGTAAGTGCCCTGACCAAAACAAACCCCTTGTGTACAGGCCGACGCTCCAACCAACTGAGCCACGCCGGCCAGGGCGATGGTTTCAGCTTTGTGGACCATCAGGTCAGAACCACAAAACCACTCAGCTCTGCTGTTGTAGTGTAAAAGCAGTGTGGACAGAACATAAACAAGTGAGCATGGATGTGTTCTAATAAAACTTTATTTAAAAAAAACTGGTGGTGGGCTAGATTTGACCATAGTAGTAGTTGGCTGAACCCTAGCTTAAATGAAATATATTATTAAAATTAATTTTACTTGTTTTTTTGTTTATTTTAATGTGACTACTAGAAAATTACAAATTGGCTCACATGGCATCCCTATTTGATCTAAGCACTTTGCAAACTGAGGGATATTTTGTCCCCCAGGGAGAAGCCTGTGTGTGTGTGTGTGTGTGTGTGTGAGAGTGTGTGTGTGAGTGTGTGTGTGCATGTGTGTGTGAGTATGTGAGTGTGTGTGTGAGTGTGCATGTGTGTGTATGTGTGTGTGTGTGAGTGTGCGCGTGTGTGTATGTGTGTGTGTAGGGGTGATGTGTGAACTCCGATGATAACCTAACCAGAGCCTGTGGAGGTGGCTCCATTGCTTGGTTATCCACTGCTGAGAGGGAAGCCCAAGGGCAGACTGGCTGGCAGCTGCTTTCAGCGGGTGTTTGAACCTGCACCCTCTCTAGGTTCCTCCTTTCACTAAAGGGAAGTTACCCAAAATACCACCAGGTGGTGCTGTCTGTCTGCCGGGTATGGTGGTTGGACCGGGGAACCGCATTCTCCACTGGGCTCTGCCTGCTCTGCTGTGTAGCCTTGGCCTTCCCGTCCTGAGCTGTCACATGGGGTGATACCAGACTAGTGAAAATGTGCACTTTGCAGGCAGGCTGACCTGATTTGACTTCTGACTCCACTAGGGCACATTATGATTTTTGTGGGTCTTAGGCACCTGTGACTTCATGAGTCCCTTCTTACATTAAAAAAAGTAATAAGAGTTATATTTTACATGGGGCCAGTGCGGCTTAGTGGTTGGGTGTTGATCCATGAACCAAGAGGTCCCGGTCCCGGTCGGGGCGGGTGCCTGGGTTGTGGGCTTGATCCCCATTAGGGAAGGTGCAGGAGTCAGCCGATGGATGTTTCTATCTCTCTCTCTCTCTACCTTCCTCTCTCTCTAAAACCAATAAAAACAATATTAAAAATGAATTATATGTTACAACTACATTGATTTAAAGAAAAATATATTAATACTATACATTAAAATTTTCTTCAACCTAAAATTTTATTTTTTCCTTCTTATTCTCAAAGAAATTAAAACACTTCCATAGCCCTAAAAGTCTCATGGGCCCTAGACCCTACCCCTACGATGCCTCATAGAGGAGTCGCCCTGGGCTCCACTCACCAGCGGTGTGACCGTGGGCAAGTTGTTTAACTTCTCTGGGCCTCGGTTTCCTCATCCATAAAATGGAGACAACAAAGCCCACCTTTTCAGTGCTGTGGTTGGAATTTAGTGAGATAGTGTTTACTGCTGTGCCTTCTTAGAGCACAGCCTGGCACAGAGCAAACCTTGGCCAATGGCAGTTATTATTATCATTATTTATCATTATTACTATCTTTAAAGATATTTTCAACTCTAGCTTCTATGAAACTACTAACATTTCTCAAGCAGAAATCTCAAAATAAATAAGTCAGAAAAATGAAATAAATCATCCCGGGTATTTGATAGGGGAAATAGAGTTTCCTAAAGCAAAGTGGGTCAGGAGGAATTTTTACAAATGACAAATACGTATTTTCTCCTGCCATCAGGGAACTCACAGAGGTAGGAACGTGGGCTTACTCCAATCAGCCCGAACCTGGGACACCTGGGGAATATGTGCCAGCTGGGCCGACCCTTGAGTGTGTGTGTGTGTCTGTGTGTGTGTACACATCCTTGTTCCCTTAAATTCCCTTAGTGTCACTTCATTTCAGTAGCTTCTCTGAACGCTAAGGCTTGGAGCTGCTGGGGCCGGGTCCTGAGGCCCGGGTGACCCACTCTCCTTCAAGACGTGACTGTGGCTAAGACTCTGTGACCTCCCGTCCCAGCCACGACCTGTGACCTCCGCCTTCAGGACCAGATGGGTGGAAGCTCTGATGTGATGCAGGTGTGACCCCTCTCCTGGCTCTGCCCTCCCCACGCCCACCTGGCTGGGGAGAGGATGTGGGGGTCACTCCCCTCTCCGGGTGTGGAGCTGCCTTCACATCCTTCTCCAGCCCAAGGGACAGGAGCTGCTGGCTTGGAGCCGCCCCTTCACCCCACCCACAGGGACAGGATGAAGGGCGAGGGCAGGGGAGGCAGGGAAGGGGTGCTGATGAGGAAGAGAAAACAACAAGGGCTGGAAGCAGGGGCATCTCCGTTTCTCGGGGTTCACTTGCCCAAATACTTGCTGAGGAGAACGATGAAGAAGTGGGTGGTGAGAACTCATTCCCAATCATTAGATGAGAGCCACATGCATCCAAACTTAAAGTGGCCACCCTTCCACGGAGCGAGTCCTGTGCATGAAAACCCAGCTCCGTCTGTGGAGGGCTGACTGGTGTCGAGCACGTGGCGTTTTACCTGCATTATCGTGTTTAAACGTCACCTGTGCGGCCGATTCTCTCATTAACCCCATTTGGCGCTTCAGGAAACGGAAGGTACGCGACCTGCTCAGTGTCCCACAGCCAGGATGGCTCCAGAGTGGGCCTGGCCCTCCACAGGCTGTGCCTCCTCTCGCTAAGCAGGGCTCGGAGAGTGAGTTTAAAACCTGGTCCTCAGTAGATAATTCATGAACGAAAGGCCTGGCCTGCAGCCACCGGGGCTTGTTAAGTGGGCCGGCTCGGGGCGGGGCTGGGGATTCCCTGGTAACAGGTGCGCACAGTTTCCAACCCTGTGAGCGAAGCTGGTGCTGAGAGAGTGCCTACGACCAGGCGCGCTCCCCAAAGGGCCATGGGAGCGCCATCCAGGCAGGTGACCCAGGGCAAGGGGGGCGGGGGGGTCTGCAGCTGCTTCAGGCTGTGGCCAGTGAGAAGCCCCACTCTGTGCCTCCCCCCACCCCCCCGCCCCCGTGCCCAGCAGTTTGCCTGAACTGAGAGCTGGCAGATGCCATGGCTCCTGTAATCTGCACTGTGCAGGGACAGAGGGACAGAGGGACAGAGGGACGGAGGGACGGAGGGATGGCTCATCACCGAGGAGGCCGCAGGGTTGGGGGGCCAGGTCAGGGCCTCGGGCACCCTCTCTTAGGGTCTGGTCCTCTTCCCCTGCCCCCTCCCCCCACACCCACCAGCACAGGACTCCCGTCCCAGCCACGACACTGGCCCGTGGGCACAAGGACGCTCTCTCCTGCGAAATAAGTTCATTTGTGAAGTGCCGGCTTGACCGTTTGGACCTCGGAAACTGGACGTTTTCTGGGGCGGCCCTTCTCAGAAGAGGGGGCGACAGAAGCCTGACAACCTCACCACATCCCCTGCCCACGCCAGCGAGACCTCTGAGGTTAGTTGGATGTTTGGAGAAATGGTTTTCCCCGCTTAAGCAGGGCCTTTTGATTTCATTCTCTCGGTTGTTACCAAATTTCGAAAATCAAGCTTGTGGTCAGTTTCTTATATAAGAAGCCACATGGTCCCTGATATTTTAAGGGAAATGAGCAGAGTGGGACCATGTCGATAGCGTGCTTTCCTCTGTATTTTCCAAGGTTACATTTGTGCTCGTTTATGTACAGACTCTGGCAGAATGCATAGCTGGGAAGAGGGGTTGCTTCTGAGACAGGAAGCGGGGGATGGAGGGATGGGGGCGGCATCCTTTGTCGCTGCTTTTCCTCTGGTGCTGCTCCTGTCGTTAGTCATGTTCACAAACTGCTTGAACAAGGAGACAATGTAAGGAAAAACAGCAAAAGCGGTCACCGTACAGGACGCAGGTAGCGTGTGCCCCGCTGCTGGGCCCCCCTGCAGCTCTTTGGTTGCAGAAATATGATAAAATCCTCGAGTCTCTGCCAGCCACCTGGGCCTTTGATCCACTGGGTCCCCCAAGAAGCCCCAATAGTGGCCTTGGTGACAAGTGCAATGTGGGGAACGTTACAAGAGGGAGGCAGCAGACATGGGCCGGGCACCTCGCCCCGGCTCTGGGATGGGACAGGGCACATGGGCACAGGGAAGAGGCGGCCCTGCTGGGCGCCAAGTGCCAGGTGGGACGGAGGGGAGTCTGACACGGCACAGCCGATACAGAGGCCTTCGCGGTGTCCAAAACCTCTGGCTCTCTCCAAATGGTGGTGAGAACGAGGTGGCCTGTGGTCAGAATGAAAGTTCAAAGGAGGACACTGGTGGTCCCTGGGCTGGCTGAGTTGGAGGACAGTTCAGAGGCAGGAAGGCCAGGTGGGAGAAGCCTTCATCCCCGATCCCTGTGAGATGTGATGGTGGCCAGATTCCCCAGTGAATTGCCCGAGTCATGGGGTGCAGGTGGGGCCTTGGCATTTCTGGTCATTTCTGGTGGAACAGGGTCCCTCGTGAGACTGAAAACGGATGTTCTTCCTCCTGCAGCAGCCTCTCCAGGGCCAGCCTGGGCAGTGGCCATGCGGGGGCAGGGCTCTCGCTCAGGGCGTGAAAACCCTCCTTTTGGCTGCAAAAGCCCCGTTTCCTCTTGGGCAGTTCCGGGGAGGTACCAGCCACGGGGGATAATGGAAGAGTCTCCTCCCAATTCGGGTTAAGTCGGATTAAATCCAAGTTGAAAAATGAGGGCAGCGGGCCAGTCTTGTTTCTTGGCTGCAGGGGGCAGTTCATGCTGTTAGAGCTGTTTGTTTAGAGGCAAGAAATGGTTAAGAAAATGGTGCCCTTGGATCTAGGTGCGGCGGGCCCTGGTTCTCTTCTTTGAAGAGGAAGATCTTTTCCTGTTGGTGGAGACCTTTGAAGATTGTAGTTTGAATTCAACTGGAAAGTGGTCACTGACCTCCAGGGCCTGTAAGGATGAAAGGGAGAGACATCTGAGAATGAGGAGGCACTCTTACGTTTGTGATGAGCAAATTCAGGCTCCAGGAGAGAAGGTGGAATGCCCACAGTCACCCAACAGCACAAACCCTGATGAGCATCGTCCCTGGACCAGATCAATTAGAAGCCTAGGCAGGTCCTCAAATCACAGAACCATAGGCATTGAGACTCAAGGTCCAATGGCCCAATGTTAGGTCTCTAGTTTGGCCTCAATGATGACACCAACCCATCTGCCCAGGACAGTGGCTTAGAAAGACAAGGTGGCAGCCATACCTCCTCTTCAGTTAACCCGTACGCTTTCTGGAAGTCAAAGATGCTGCTTGACTTGGGCACAACGGAGTTGACGATCGCTTGTCCTCTCAGCACGATCCTACAGAAGAGGAGGGAAGACAGTCATGTTAATCCACCGCTGATTTCTGAGATCAAACCAAGGTCCATGTTTGACATCTGAAGTTGACTGAGCAGCCTGGACCTGTCATGCGGTGCTCAAAGTCCACCCCTGGTTTTAGCCTGTGACCCTCAGGACAGTGGGAAATAGGATTAGCTCCTCTGTGGCCCTGTGGGCACCAGGACAGTCTCTCCCTGTGTGGACAGGTAGCCCTGGTGATGAGAGAGAAGACTTTATATGATACATGGACACTACATAGCAGTATCGTGCATTCTAAGATATCATTTCCTTTGCAATTATTTTTCACTTTTCCTGATTTGATTATGGAGAAAGGTGCTGGCTTGTCTTTAATACTCCCTAAGCTTCCACTTTGACCAAGAGAGAGCAGGCTGCAAGCAGTAAAGAGGCAAGAGAATTAAGCAGAATTTGCGTTGTTCAGTTTTCACTGGAATTATTTGTACAGTTATTTTCGACTTAGGGCAAATGACGCCGGTTTCTTACCTTGGTATTATAACATTTCTTTAAAATTAATTTATTTCAGTAAGAAACAAATGTATTTAAAGACAAATATGGAGAAAAACCAATGGGTACATGATAGTTAACTGAGTTTGGGAAACATGAACTCTAATGGATACCAGGTGGGGTGATGCACTTGGGGTCTGCGTGGCCCTGACAGGCCGACTAAAGACTGACAAGATGAGTCCAACTGCTGGTTCATGACCATCCCGAGCTTTCCCTGACTCCAAAGGGCTGACTGGTTCCCTGTGTTGGCTAACGCCATCACCTGGTTAACTTTGAACTCTATCCACAAGTAAACTCTTCACATGCAGGTGGAGATTTCTGAAAGCCATCCTTTCCAACCCAGGGAGTAAAACGGGACATAGTTAAGGCTCCCCCATTTCTGACTTCTACTCGTAGGTATGTGCACAGGTGGGCCGGCTGATCCTGTTAAGCTCTTCCGAGGCCAGCCCAGCGCCTGGGAGGTGTTCAAGAGATATCTGAACACAGAACAAAGACTCGCATTGAGTCAAAACAAAAATATTTATATGCCTTTTACAAAACCACCAAAGATACATGCTGTTAAGGAAAACATAGACTTGACGTGGGGTGGTGAACATACAATACAGTATACAGATGGTGCACTAAAACCTCTATGCTTTTATTAACCAGTGTCACCCCAATAAATGTAATAAAAAGGGGGAAAATCACACGTCATCCTGCCATCCTTTGGCATGCATGTGTGTTACACCGGGGTCCCAGGGAACACCGTTTTTCACCTGTTCCCCACCGCAGCTAATCTGCTGTGAACGTCTTTCCCTGTGATTCACTGTTCTTCTGCTTCGACATTTTCCATCACCTCCCTCTCATTTGCTGGGGAGAAGAATGGGGCCACAGAAGGGACTTGATGTTCCCAAGGCCACACGACTGGCACGTCCCTTGCTGGCAGCCCCTCAAAATGGAGGGAGGGGAAGAGAGCTCAGTCTCCCGGGGCCTCCCACCTTGACTCTGCTCCCCCAGTGCGAGGGCTGCTTCCACCTCCCAGGGCTGGAGTGACGACTTCTGCACTAGACACACCAGCCCTGAGAGCTCCGAGAGGAACAAAGGCGGTCATGGGGTGAAAACGAAAGCCAGACCTCAGAACGAGAGAAGTGAGAGCAAGTGTGGACTCGCAGGTGGCCATCGCATGCTTTCTCCGTAACAGGCTGAGCCCTGGGAACGGAAGCCAGCGTGGGACCAGGGCTCCTAGGGGATTCCCTGCCTGCGGTCTCTGCTGTGGGAGGCCAGGTCACGAGCATTCACAGGCTTCAGGCATTCTCACCGCCTCCCTCCCGCCTTAAGGAGCAAAGGTGAAAGCTGATGGAACATCCCCAGAGAGATTTTACACATACAAGGGCACGCAGTTATTTAAATGTATGCATTTTCATTTTGGAAGGTGCAGCGAAAGCTTTAGAAGTGTAAACACTTCCTTGCTCTAACTTCTCTCATGTTTTAGGGTTTTACCTTAAGGCAGTCATAAATATATGCATAAAGTACATATAGAATCAGAAATGTTTAAATAACTGACCCTGAATAATATGATAACCTAATGCCCAATCCTAATGCCTAATGATAAGAGGTTGGATGAGTAAACTTCGACATGTCTTTGTGATGGAATAATTAACAGCAACGAAGGTATTGAGTGCTTATATGGCAGGCTTTGTGTTATCAGATTTACATCTGTTACTGCATTTCATTCTCGTCCTGTGTCCATGAATGAGGTAGTACTATAATCTCCATTTTATAGGTGAGAAAACAAAGACACATATCTCTTAGTCACAGACATATTAAGTGGCAGAGTGAGGGTTTGAACCCAGGCCTATCTGACACCGAAGCCCATGGTGGCTACTGCTGAACTACGGTGCCCAGTTCATGCAGTTTGTAGGCTGTGCAAAGCTCTAGGTCAGCGGTTCTCAACCTGTGGGTCGCCAACCTGTGGGTCGCGACCCCTTTGGGGGTCGAACGACCCTTTCACAGGGGTTGCCTAAGACCATCGGAAAACACATATATAATTACATATTGTTTTTGTGATTAATCACTATGCTTTAATTATGTTCAATTTGTAACAATGAAAATACATCCTGCATATCAGATATTTACATGACGATTCATAACAGTAGCAAAATTACAGTTATGAAGTAGCAACGAAAATAATTTTATGGTTGGGGGTCACCACAACATGAGGAACTGTATTAAAGGGTCTCGGCATTCGGAAGGTCGAGAACCACTGCTCTAGGTGGAGAGGCCTGAAATGTGACTCTGCTCTCCAAGCCAAATGCCTCATCTGACCAGAGGGGGGCGCCTTTTCTAATGCATATAAGCCCTGCCTGGGTATTGGGTCCGCAGCTGTCTCCCACCTGTCATATGCACAGTTGGTGCTCGTCTTGACAGTAGTGTCCTCTTGGTCCCCGATCAGCCAAACGAACTTGCTGTCGGTCCTCAGGCGGATGCTGCTCCAGGCCTTCTTGGGGACATAGTTGCAGTCGGCATTGAAGTCGCCCATGAAAATGAAATTCTGAAAGACATGATTTGGAGCATCAGTCGCCGGATCAGCTTTGTGGCCAAGCTCTGTCACTCGGCACTGCCAGCAATGACTCCGTCCTCCGTGCTCAGCAAATGACGGGGTGAATTGTGTCCCTCCCAAATTCGTGTTTTGAAGTCCTAAGCCCAGTATCTTAGAATGGGACATTATTTGGAGAGAGGACCTTTAGAGAGGTAATTAAGTTAAAATGAGACTATATGGGTGGACCCTAATCCAGTATGACTGGTGAGAAGATTAGAAAGGGAGAGGCCTCCGGAGGAACCAGCCTGCTGACACCTTGATCTTGATCATCTAGCCTCCAGACTGTGAGGAAATAAATTTGTGTTGTTCAAGCCACCCAGTCTTTGGTACGTTGCTATGGCAGCCCTGGCAAACTAAAATAGGGTCTTTCTTAATTTCTTTTTGCTTTTTACAAGAAGAGGCCACAGTTTAAAACTGAGTCACAGAGGGGACTGTAAGCCCAGAGGGAGGAGGGAGCAAGCAACTTCCAGAGTCAAAGGGGAGAGGTGTGGAAAGGGCACCCCCTCTTCCCCCCCAGGAGCCCCAGACACCATCATGTGAGAAAGCCCAATCTACATGGAGAGACCCACAGGGAGAGGGATGAGGTCTCCAGGCAGCACCAATCTGCTAGCCATGCAAGTGAGCCAGCGTGGAGTGAATCGTCCAGCCCCAAACCAGCCTTCAGAGACTGAAATCCCAGCTGACGTCTGACGGTGCCCCCCCAGAGAAAGCAGGAGCCAGAACCACTAAGCCAGGCTGCTCCTGGTTCCCTGATCCCCATGGGATCATAACTAATGAATTGTCATTAAAAAAATAAATTAATGAAACTGAGTCACAGTTTTGATGAGTATTTGACAGGCAGGTGTGTACAAGGGAGGGTGTTCTTAACAGGGAGGGGGTGTTTGCTGTAGCTGCTCCCTCCTGTTCTGAGTCACCATGTCTCTATAATTCATGCAGGGTTAGGTGGGGATGAAAGAAGGCTGCTAATTGATTCCCTCGAATCTTTTTTCTCTGGCTCAAACATATGAATGAAGCAATGCCTTTTGTTTCCAAGCAGGAAAAACGAACTTGGGTGGTGTATTTGACAGCTTGGGCATGGCTCTCTCCCTCCTATTGTCCTGAAGTTGGAAACTTATTCCTGTGGAAATGTTGTCTATGGGGGAAGTGGGAAGAACCTTAGGTCACCAACAGAAACATTCTATCTTGGAAGTGTTTTTCCGTGGAGGGCTCTTGGGACAGGATTTTGATTTTCCCCAATCCTGAGGAAGTGCCAGATTTCCTTGTTTGTGCTATTGTGTGGGGCTGTTGCTGACTTTAGAGTTTTATTCAAAAACATCTTATTTTGACCTCTGATCATGGTTTTCCCTGTGACTGATGGGCACAGTTGAGGACAGGATGTCATCCTTAACCCTAGTGACTACCAGCTTCTATTAATAAAGGCACGATTCACCGAGCATTCTCTGTGCGCCAAATCCAGCATTAAGTGTTTTCCTGAAGTTTCATTTCAATCTCACAAACACTCGGAGGTAGAAGGGCCTTTAGCCCCTGTGGAAACAGGATAGAAGGCCTGCTCTACACCACTCAACTGGGAGGTTCAAGGGGTGAAACCAAGAACTGAACCCCAATCTGCCTCACTGAAGGTTTTTTCAGCACGAATTTCTCCTCTTCATTTTTGTGCCACTGATACCTCCCTAATACCCAACACTTAACAGATGCTCAATACATTCTTGTTGAATGAGTGAGTCTTTCTCTTGACCTGCTCTTTACAAAGAAGCAATGAAAGACACCCCCTGTGTTCTCCATGCCCAGCTCTGGGCCACACTTGACTCATTTGCACTTTCAGCAGTGGAACTGAGAAGGAGGACAGGACCAATGGGGTCACATCCCGAAAGGAGGGAAGAAGAGTTCGGAAGAGCCCTCTCGAGCACTTCCATATTTGCCAAGCTCTTCCGCAGACCTCCCAGCCACAGGTGGTGGCCTCCCGGTTTCCCATGTGAGGAAATAATTGAGGGCAACGTGTTGTCCTGCTATGAGAGTAGCAACCCTCCTCCCCTCAGCCCCTGAGGTCAGGGTGGAGCTGACACAGAGTTAGCCGGTCAGAGCCTCTCAACCCCCTGGTCACAGTGATGGGTTCAGGGCTGGACATGTGACCCAATCAGAGCCAATAAGACTCACTCGCAGGGTATTTGCTGCATGGTGGGAGAGGAAATTTGTCATTTGGTCTAGAAGCTGCTGGTGGCCATCTTGCCGTCCCAGAGGGGAGCCAGCCTAAGCCTGGAGGGCCCCCCCCCCACCAGAGGAATGGGGGGCCAAGGGTGGACAGAAACAAGCCAAGCCCTGGTTATCCTGCGGAGCCCTGGACCAGCGGTGCCTGAGCCACTCCTGGACATTTTAGTTACAAGAACCAATAAATGGCTTCTGCCAGTTTGAGATCCTGTCACTTGCACCAGAAAGACTGCCGACCTCTGTGTGTCACTGTTCTCACCTGCAAAGTGAGGATGATAAAGGTTGCGACCTCGTGGGGTCACTGGGAGGATGCAGTACACCGGTCCATGTCCAGCCGCAGCACAGGGCCCGGCACCGGCTAGTCCCTCAGTGAATGTTCGCAGCCATGTGAGTGGAGCAGGTGTGAGCACCCCAGACCCACCCAGTGGCACCGGGCAGATTTCGCAAGAAGGAGATTTAGGGCTGAGGAAAGGCCCACAGTGAGGCTTCGACGGGGTGGTCTGCACAGGCTCTGAGCCCCTCACCCGCCCGGGGAGTCACTCCTCCCTCTCGGGGACCAGATTCCGCCCCTGCCAGCGGGGAAGCCAACAAACACGGAGGGTCGTCACCTCTGCCTTCTTCCAACGGCGCTTCACGTACTCGTAGACATCCACCAGCTCATCGATCTCCTTCACGGACGCCTCGGGCGTGGTGTGCAGCGGGACAATCACGAAGTCCTTGACAGCTGGGGGGCAGGAAGGAGCAGAGGTCACGCGGTTGCCCTTCCAGTTCCAGGGCTGAGGGAAACGGCTGTCCTCCCGGAAGGCGCGCTCCCTGCCCCTGGGCCCCCACTTCCTGGGGGTCCCGCCCGCGGCTGAAGGTGCATGATCTTAGGATCACGAGGCGGCTGTTTTCTGTACATGAGAGCTCTCTTCTCCCACTCGCCCTTCGCGGCTGAGAGAAAGCTGGGAGACCGTGTTCTTTGCTGGCACTGTGGGTGTTTCTACTTTCTCATTTTTTTAAAAACTGTATCTTCTTTTTTTTTTTAAATAATAGGCTGGCTTTTGTACTAAGAAGTTTTTTTCTAATGAAAAAAAAACCAAAGCGCGTCAGTTTATACACCCTTTGCAATCAGGAAAAAAAAAGCCCAAAAATGTTATTTAAAAAATAAAGCGTATGTTTGTGAAGTGTCTAAAAACCGGGCCCAACGGAGAGGCCCGAGGGAGGGCATGTGGGCGGCCTCGGAACCACGCCATGCCCACTTGCCGGTAGCAGCTGCTGTGCTCTGAACGCCTAGTCCTCCGGCTCCCCTCATCCGTGCCTGGGTCCCCACTCCTACTTGGGAGCTGGGTGCTGTTGGTGGTCACACAGTGGGGAGCCAGGACCTGGCAGCCTGTCTCCAGGACACGGATCCAGCAGCCTCATCTCCCACTCTCCTCCTCACACCTCCACTGCACCCCCATCCTCTTGGTGGTCCCCCCTGCGCACCCCAAGCCCTTTCCCACCTCTGAACATGTGTGCTCACTCTGCCCTCCCTCTGCCATCTGCCAGTCCTCTCTGACTGATTTCTTCAGGTCACAGCCTAATGTCACTCCCAGGGCCTTCCCTGGTCCCACCCCCCTCGAAGGTGGGCCCCTCACCCTGCTAGGCAATACGTCTGGCTCACTTCCTTCATGCTCTGAACTTACTTGCTTTACTTCTATGTTTGGCCACTGGAACCAGGGCTGTGAGGGCAGGCTTATCTGTCCCGCTCGCCCTCTTGGCTCCAGTATCTAGCATCGTGCCTGGCACGTGGGAGGTGCTCAGAATGTTTGTTGATGGACTGACTGGCTGAATGAATGAATTAGAAGATATATGAATAGCTAACTCCTTCATCTTTCATCCCAGATAGAGAGGACATAAGGAGCTTCTCTCGAACAAGAGAGAAAACTAAACAGGACATGGCTGAGGTACCTTCCCAAGGAGAGAGAAAGGGGTAGAGAAGAGTGGAAGTTGGAAGCTCAATACAGGCAGGTTTGTTAGCAATTCACAAAGGACTCACTAGGAGAAAATGTAGTCAGCAAGGGGGCGAGGTGTGCTCTGAACACCGCTCCGTTCAGCTAAATGTGAATCATGAGCGTGACAAAGGACTATTGCACGTGCTCTCTAAGGACACTTCTTGCCCTCAATAGCCCCACATCCTCTTTTTCCCTCCTGGGGATTCCCTCCCCATTCTCCTATGTTGGTCAGCACTCTGACTCTGAGGTCATTGACCAGGGCAGAACTAGTGCAGGGTGTTTATATTTGTAGTTATAGGTATACTCACCTATAGCTCTGGATATATTTGCTTGGTCATTATCTGTCTCCTCTACTAAAATATAACTTCACGAGAGCAGGGACCTTGTCTATCTTGTCTGGCACCTGGGAGAGTGCCTGGCACATAGTAGGTACTGAAAATATAGTTGCTTCTATACAGCTCCAAATGGCAAACCAAACTTATTCTTGACTTCCCTTGAGTGTCACATAGTGGGTAAGAGCATGAGCTCCTGAGATGGTGGCTTGGGTCGCAACCCTGGCTCCTCTACTTCAATAGGTGCTGGGTGAACTTGGCTCAGTGACTCCATCTTTTTGAAGTGGAGACAATCCTAGTTCGTTTCAAGGAGTCTAGGAGCCTGGCACTAATCAGTGATCAACAATGGTTAGTCGCTAATACAAGTACTATTGTTGTTCAAGTTCCGGCTGCAATCGTTTGGATTTCTGCGGAGGAGACTTCTATGTAGTTACTAGAGGGAGAACCTAGGTTGAGGAGTTCAACTTTGCTGGCCATCACTGGGATTTTTTTTAAACGAAGAAATGGTTGTACTTGGTTGGGACTGTGGAATTAAGGTAAATAATTCCTATCAGCCTAAATGCTCCAAAGGCAGTGGAGTTATCATTGATTCCAGAAGGTGGGCTCCAGGCTGGGGAGTTCTTGAATCATGGCATTCTGAGAAGCCAGCCTGGTACCATCAAACTATACTGCATCTTCTACAGTCATTAGAAGTTCATATATATATTAATTTCAGAGAGGAAGGGAGAGGGAGAGAGAGATATAAACATCAATGATGACAGAGAATCATTGATCGGTGGCCTCCTGCATGCCCCTTACTGGGGATTGAAACAATAACCCCAGCATGTGCCCTTGACCGGAATCGAAACCGGGACCCTTCAGTTTGTAGGCTGATGCTCTATCCACTGCGCCAAACCAGCTAGGGCCAGGTATTAGAAGTTCTTAATGGCCTTCTCCATCGAGCCTAAAGCCTCCCCAAAGATGCTGCATGAACTCCAGGGTCACAGCTCACACTTAGGGCTGTTGCCTACTTGCTCTGGGGAGATCATGGGCAAGAGAGGTGTGTGGGTCTCACCGGTTTGGGGTGACTGGAACCAGACCACAAAGGGCTCCCTGGAAAAGACATCTGTGTCTCCATCCTGAAGGTCATGGTAGAGGTAGTTTTCCTTCACAGTCACCAGCTTTTCCCTAGAGGAGAAAAAGGAAGTCCACCCAGCTGAGTCAGCTGTCTTCTTACTTCTTTCAAGAAGCAATTATGTAGGTTCCCACGGCTTCATTAGCCTCCCAAGTGGGTTCGAGAGCTGGAAAGGATCTTCAGAACAAGGCTCAGTCAACTCTTCTCAATGGCCAGGGTCCTTTGGGAGCCAAAGAGCTGAGCAATACTAAGTATCTGGGGCACCCACAGTTAATGTTCAGACTTAGAACAAATTACTAGTAGGAAGGTGAGAATATGAAGTTCTGGAGTCAGCTGTGCTGGGCAACTCAGGTTTCCATCCCTAGACCAGGACTTGACTACGAAGAAGAAAGAAATCCTGAACCCCTTGACCAGGCAGCCACTGGGTTGACCAACAAATTAGGTGTTAGGAAGCTGCTCGTGTTTTCTAGTTTGAAGAGTTAATACTTTGCACCAGTCCCAATTTCGACGGCAATTACTTTTATTGATATTGAGAACTGGTTAGAGATCAAAGTTTCATTTTGAAGAAAAGGTATGCATTTTGATTAAATTCATAGCCATCATTTATACATGAACCATGTTCCAGGAAGCATAGATGATACTTACTTGTAGATAAAGGCATACTGTTCTTTATATGTCTTTCTTCCGAGCCGAGAGCTAATCACACAGTTGTATGTTGTGGCTCTTGAATTTCTAGAAAACAAAGATTTTACATTGAATCTTAAAAGAAAAACATTTCCCTGTTGCAGAGATTCCCCTCTCTCCAATCTGCCTCCATATCTCCAATGGCACCATGGAGAGTCTAATAAGAAGGGCCACCACTGGATGGAAATGTAACATCTGCCAGGATCTTTATTTCTTGTCCTTATAGGTAGATACTACTGTTACCCCATTTTTATCGTTTGTAAGCACAAAGCTGGGATTTGAACCCAGATCCTACTCACTCCCGAATCCATATGTTTTGGCCTGTACCTGTAAGAGACCATTGAGACCATAGAAGCTTCAGGCCAGAATCAGCCCAAACCCCACTCTGGGCCATGGCTGGGGCTGCAGCTCATACTCCCTGTTGGAGCAACCTTTTCTGGTCACCTACCCAGGCACCACCCCTGAGAATTTATCATATGCAGGATTCTTAGTCACATTTTCGTTGGACATTCTTTCCTGCTCTGAAAACCCCCAGGCATTAATAAGCCCAGAACTATAATTTCAAACCAGCTGTTGTTTATTTTCTGGGAACTGGGGATACAGCCATGAAATCCCATTGACCCTCACCCTCACCTTCCTGGAGAAACCCGACTCTCAGTGTGTTTGCCAAACCTGCTGACCACTCCACCCTGGCAGAGCCTGACCCGGTGTTACTCCCTCTGGCCGCAGAGAAATCTAGGGCATGTCTGACCCCAGGCATGGTCTCAGGTTCAGTTGGAAGAAAGCAGAAGGGACCTTTACGGGCCCAGTTAGACCCTACAGAAACTCCTGGGGCTTTAGCTGCATGTTCTAAGGCAGATTGGCCTCTGGGTCCCCAGGAGTGTGGACAATGGATTCCTCTGGGCTTCGAGTCTGGGAAGTTGGCCCTCATCTGATTCTGAACTGCTACGTCCTGGGTTGGCAAAGTGTTAGAAGTGACTCAGCCGTGAACTGCCTGAGGTCCCTCCTGGCTTCCAGGGGAAGGGAGCAAACAGGCCTGGCTCTGCCTGGGGTCCATAGGACAGTCTAGGGAGGTTGGGGGAACTGAGATAACTGGAGGCAGGAAGACTCTCCAGGCCGACGGGGGGAGATGCATGAAGACCCCTCCTCTCGGTCCCCCATACTTCTGAAAACTGACTGGAGCCGCTCCAAAGACAACTGAGGGGGCTCAGAATAGAGCGCTGGATTTGGAGTCAGACCTGACCCAGGTTCAAAAGTAGGCTCAGCCATTTGACGACTGGGTGACATTGGGCCGGTCACTCTTCCCTGTGCCTCAGCTCCCTACCTCTAAGAGGAACAGTCATAGTATCTACCCCACGGGGTTGTAAATGAATTAACAGGATGCCTGGCCCATAGCCAGGGTGTTGATGGTAGCTGTTACATGGGGCCCCCTGGACCATCATCTGCCATTATAATTCTCTTCCATTTACTTGTAACAGACACTGCTACATGCCAGGCACATGCATGACTTAATTACATGCATGATTTATCTTCCACATCCCAGGAAGATTGCTTCTATTGTTAGCCCCAATGAAGAGACAGGGAAAAGGAGGTTGGTCACTTGCTTGAGGTCATGGCAGAACCAGGATCCAAACCCAAGTGTCTGAGCTGAGCATAGGTACCTACACCCTGTGCTGCACGCCCTCTTCCTCTGTCAAAGGTCAGATCCAGAGACAGAACACCTACCGAGGACAAAAAGGAGAAGCTCAACTCCTACTCTGTGTTTTCAGATGAGAAACCGAGGCCCCGGGGCGGGGGGGGGGGGGGCGCCCAGGGGCCGTCTGTGTGAAGGAGAATGGCCACAGCTGTTCCGCCTGGACTGACCATTCACTTCTAAACAACCATGTGAGTTTTCCTAATTACAAAAGTATAATAATGGCCAGATGTTCTGCTGCTCTAGCTGTATGGTGGCTACAAGGCTGTGTGTTTTCATTTTATCTGTGCTTTTAAGTATGTTTAAAGTATTTCCTAAGCAAAAAGGAATGGGAGTGTAATATTCTCACTGTAGAAAATTTTGGAAAATAGAGAAAAAATGTAGAAGAAAACCCATTTAAATTCCTTACAAATTTGTACTCTAAGATAGCCACTGTCAACATTTTGGTTCACTGCTTTTGAATCTCTTATACATTTTTTGTTCTGTTTTATTTATTTATTTATTTTTTACATCTTGAACTACTTGGCACATATTGTATACTTGAGTTTGTTTAATTTTATCATGTATCTACAAAGAAACATTATATTAGAAGTTTTTAATCAGGGTGCATCAGAACCATCTGGGAAGCTTATTGAAATAAAAATGCCCCTCTCACAGAAATTCTCATTTCATAGACCCGAGGCTCTTGAATATGCACTTTTAATTCACTTTGCAGTGATTTTCAGGTGGGTGGGTCTGCTGATTATTCTTTGAGAAAGAATAAAAATTATAAATTATAAATATAACCCAATGTCATGTAAAACTATTTGAGGACATTATTTTTGTAATTTTTAGCTTGTAAATCGATTCAGGCTTTTTGTAAAATATTCAAATTATATAGAACTATCCTATATAATAAAAGGCTAATTGCAAATCGACTGAACGGGAACGACCGGTTGCTATGACGTGCACTGACCACCAGGGGGCAGATGCTCAATGCAGGAGCTGCCCCCTGGTGGTCAGTGCGCTCCCACAGGGGGAGTGCCGCTCAGCCAGAAGCCCGGCTGATGGCTGGCAAGTGCAGCAGTGGTGGCAGGAGCCTGTCCCATCTCCGCAGCAGCGCTAAGGATGTCCACCTGCTGGCTTAGGCCCGCTTTCCACAGGGAGCGGGCCTAAGCCATCAGTCAGACACCCTCCCAGGGCTCCCAGACTGTGAGAGGGCACAGGTTGGGCTGAGGGATCCCCCGAGTGCACGAATGTCGTGCACTGGGCCTCTAGTATGAAATAAAAAGCAAATGTTCCCCATTCCTTCACTGGCCTCCTAAACAATGATCCTCCAATCACAGCCCCTCAGTCCCCCAAAGTAACCACTATTAACAGTTTGGAGCATATCCTTCCAGTCTTTCTTCTATGCCCATGCAAACTCAAACATACTCTTATTCCTCTATAATGTGATGTGATTAATAAACTGGGTTGCTCTACCTACAATTCTGAACTTGTTCTGTTCAATTGCAGCCATCTTTCCATGCTGGCCTGTTTAGGTCTAACCTGTTCTGCAATAAACATGATTTATAATGGCTGCATAACATCCAGTCTGTGGTCATTTCATATTTCCTACTGGCACCTGATCTTTCTTGAGAACAGCACTTCTCAGCTCAGCCTCTTGTCTGTTTCTTTCATTTCTCTGTCTCTGTTCTGGCTCCCCATCTGTTTCCCTTATTTTGTTTTATCATATTAAAGCTAGCTGGTTGAAGGTTCTTAGACCCGTGGCTAACAGAGTTGGAAGCCACATGAACTGGTGGTCGGAGTGAGTGCTTGCTCTCACGCTAAGTCAGTTCCCTGGGGCTTTACAGGTGCCTTTGCACTTGACCTTGAACCCACAGAGGGTCTGGGCCCCATCTTTACCCATTCAGCCTCTCCATCAGCGTGGGACAGATCTGGTTGGCGCTGTCCTTGATTTCCATCAGGAGTATGATGTCACAGCGTTTGATGATCTGCAGAGAGAGAATCCCCAAGGGGTTGAGAGCACTTACTACAAACAATAAAAAACCTTTTGGGGGGCACTTACTATGTTTTAAGTATCAAATTGGGTGCATCGTTAAATTAATTAAATTCTTGCCTAAAATAAATGAAGGGCTCCCTGAGGGAGGTGCTGTTACCGTGTCCATTTTTAAGACAAGGAGCCTGAGGCTCTGGAAAGGTGAGGAGTGTATCCAGAGTCACCCAGCCAGTGGCCGAGGCAGAATGTGAACCTAGGCAACCCAGATCCACAGCCTGTGATCAGACCCGACTTCCCACCTCTCGGCTTTCCTTGAATAATTACTATAATAATCACCAATATTCATTAAACCCGTAGTAAATGAAAAGAACTCAGGCTGGATACTGAGGTATAACCACAACGATAATGACTATAAGAGCTGACATTATTGTGAGCCTACGCCGAGCCTCACCAACCCTGTGAATGACCGTAGTCCCTGACCCGCAGGAGGGAACCAGCTCAGAGGCCTGAGTGACTAGCCGAAAGGCACAGCCAGCAGAGGGGGTGCAGCCAGGATTTGAACTCCGGTCGGTGTGACTGTAAAGGCCACCGTGCCAACCTGTTAAAACACAGCCCTGCCCTGAAAGACTGATTGATGGTCCAGTGAGAGGGACAAAGGGAAACAACTAGCTACCCTGAGAGGGACATGACATTTGGACTGAACAAGGCACAGCTGTAGGAATGTTGAGGACTAACTAATTCCTTCTGCCCAGACACCAAGGAAAGCTCTGAGAAGAGAGGGCATTTGAAGGCCCTGACAGGTGAGAAGGAGCTTAGTGGGTAAAGAATGCAGGAGAAGTTCCTTTCCCACACGATTTCTCCATTATATCTATTGACAAAAGTGGCAGCAAAGTGACTAGCCCATTGGTTCAAAGTATGGACTCTGAGTCAGATGGCCTTGGGTTCATGTCGTTTTTAAAGGTATATTTTTATTGATTTCAGAGAGGAAGAGAGAGGGAGAGAGACATGGAAACATCAGTGATAAGAGAGAATCATCCACTGGCTGCCTCATGCATTCCCCACACTGGGGATCCAGCCCACAACCCGGGCATGTGCTCAGACCAGAAATCAAACTGTGACCTCCTGGTTCATAAGTCAATGCTTGACCACTGAGCAACACTGGCCGGGCCTTGGATTCATGTCTTGACTCTGTCACTCACCAGCTGTGTGACCTTGAACAAGCCACGTAAGCTCCCTGAATGCCAGCTTCTTTATCTGGGAACTGGGACAACTTCCCCTCATAGGGATTCGGTGACATAGTGGATATAAAATTCTGTCCAGTCCACGGCACAGAACAGATGCTCAGCAAACAATGGCAATATTTATCATACAGTTTTCATCTTTTTTTTCAACCTAATATTACATTGTGTTTCCCTCACAGTCAAGATTCAGTTTTCAAATTCATTCATGACACATTTTTTCCTGCCCCAACTTCAGGCCAGAAAAAATATATTTCAGACAAGGAAAAATGTATTTCCCCTGGCTCCATTTCCTCAGGAGGAGGACCTCAAGGGGAGGACCTGAGGAGGAGGGTCCCCGGAAGGCCCTCCAGCCCTGAAACCCAGTGAGACTGTCCTGACTGTTCACAGAGGGGAGGAGAGGGGAGGAGGGGCAGTGCATGGCTAGTGGTGAGGGAATCCCAGCAGGGGGTGTCATGGGTGAGCCTGGGGAGAGGGGAAGGGGCAGCCTGGAGAACTCTAGAAAAATCCGGGGCAGAAGGCAGCCTACGAAAGCCTCTTTCATGCCCCTAAACAGAGCAGCCAGCATGGTGGGGAAGAGCCCGGATAGGGTCAGTCAGGCCTCAGTTCTGCTCCATGGCCTGGGGCAACACGCTTCACCTCTCTGAAATCCAGTTGCTCATCTGTAAAAGGGGTCTACTAATCAGAGGGGTTGTCAGGCTGAGCTTGGATGCATATGAAGGGCCCAGGACAGTCAGCACTCCTAAATTAACTGATCGGGTGCTGAATATCTGTGAAGTTCTCCCACATCCACGCTCTCACTCCCAGTGTCTCGGAGTGTCTGGCACATGGCCTACCTTCAATGAGTATTTATTGGATGAACAAGCTCGACTCTTTAAGGACACAAACTGACGAAGTCACAGGCAGAGGGAGCCTTTCCCAGGCAGGATTTGGCATCTGGAGAATTGCCCGTGGTGCCGACCAGCAAACCCAAGGAGAAGGCAGGCCTCCCTCACTCCCCAACCTTCCCAACGAAGGCCATAACAACGACAGCATGATGAAGCTGGGCTTGTCTCCAACATGATAAACCCAGTACGGAAGAGTGGAAAAGGCATTTCCACGTATATGTTTGGATCTGAACCTGGTTCTCCTCCTTACTAGCTATGGAAGCCTGAATAAGTCACTTCACCATTTTGAGTCTCAGTAATAAAGTGAGGACAATGCCACCTACATCACAGTATTAAATAAGATATAAAGTTCCTGGCCTCTAGGAGGTGCTTAGACAAGGGCCCCTGTACATACTACTATCCCAGGAGCCTGGGATTTGAGTCTCAGGGTAAGTGCTCTGGGTGGCTCTGTTTTCCGATAGCCTCTGTTTACAGGATGGTTTTGCAATAATGGGGAAGTCAGGGGCCTTGACAAAGACTTTAGACATGCGTGGTGTCTGGTGTGATGGGCTGTCCGTCGGTCAGCCCTCTAGGACACAGGGGCTTAAGGGAGGTGCTGACTGTAGGCCCCCTCCATGGAATCACCAAAGAACAAAATGTCAGCCTTAAGCCTGTGGTGACATTTCCCGGGTGGAATAAGTGAGGAGGGTGACAGGAATTCAGTAGGCACCCACTCTCCAGGGGCCCTTCCCCACAAGGAAGTGGGGAAATTGTTTGCTCGCATGTCAGTTTCCAGTTGAGCCAGAGAGTCACGGTTCTCATCAGCTTGGCATGGCTGTCCTGGCTAAAAACCGACATCCGCAAGGCCTTGGGTACCATCCAAAGGGCAGGGATGCGCAGGTCTGCAAGGACCGTCTGAGCTAGAACAGAGTGTGCTAGTCCTCACTCTAATCCACTTTGCCTACTGACAGTGGCAGCTCATGTTTGCGATCACCTGCCTTGTTGCCTTACTCACCTTGACTTTGCTCAGCCACACTCCGCTCCAGGTTGTGTAAGGCTCGTGTTCCTGAAAGGCCCTGGAGGCTCAGGGAGCAGAAGGGACTTGCCCAGCTCACTTCACCTGCTGCCAGGTGGGACCTGAACCCAGGCTCCTGGCATTCCCACTACAGCACGGTCGGTGCCTCCGGAGTTTTCTAAAGTAATAACACCTAGTCCTAGTCCTGGGAAAGTTTTCAGCAACCATCCCTCCCTCACTTCCACTCTCTCTGAAAAGCAATGGGAAAAATATCCTCAGCCCTAGCCAGATTGGCTCAATGGATAGAGCGTCTGCCTGCAGACTGGAGGGTCCCAGGTTCAATTCCTGGTCAGGGCATATGCCCGGGTTGCGGGCTCGATCCCCAGTAGCGGGCATGCAGAAGGCAGCCAATCAATGATTCTCTCTCATTGTTGATGTTTCTCTCTCTCTCCCTCTCCCTTCCTCTCTGAAATATATATATATTCATATTCTCAGGTGAGGATTAACCAAAAAATAATTAATTATTAATTAATTAACCTGTAGGATAAAGAGAGTCAACTGACTCCAGAGAAGTGTGGGCAGAGTTCCCAGGCATCCTATATAATAAAAGCCTAATATGCTAAGTGTCTGGTTGTCCGGTTGGCCATTTGACCAATCAAAGCATAATATGCTAATGATATGCTAAGGCTGCTCAACCGCTCACTATGATGTGCACTGACCACCAGGGGGCAGACAGTCAACTGGTCAACCAGTCGCTATGATATGCACTGGCTACCAGGGGGGCAGACACTCCCACCAGAAGGTTAGCTTGCTGCTGGGATCTGGCCAATTGGCACTGAGTGAGATGGGCCGGACACATCCTGGAGCCCTTCCGCAGTCCCTCCCTGGCTGGCCAACCTCCCACATCCCTCCCCAGCCTGCACCCTCTCACAATCTGGGATCCCTTGGGAAATGTCGGAAAGCCAGTTTTGGCCCGATCCTGCAAGCCAGGCCAAGGGACCCCACTGGTGCATGAATTCGTGCACCAGGCCTCTAGTTGGTTATATTATCCAAGAAAAGTCTTATCTAAGTGGAGAAAAAGATTAGAATTGGGAGTGGGGAAAAGGTTGATGGGGTGGGGGGCAGGGAAGGAGGAGGAAAGGAAGAAGGGGAAGGGGGAGAAAAAAGAAGAAAGAGAAAGAAAGAAAGAAAAAGAAAGAAAGAAAGAAAGAAAGAAAGAAAGAAAGAAAGAAAGAAAGAAAGAAAGAAAGAAAGAAAGGGAGAAGGCAGGCAGGAAGGAGGAAAGGAAGAAAGAAAGGTAGAAAGCAAGTAAAAATCTGTGCTGCAGTGATGGTTAAAAGACCAGGCTGGCTGGCACCCCAGCTCCCCACCCGCCCACAAGCTGTACGGTATTACTTCACCTTTCATTGTTCGTCATCTCTACATGGGGGATAAGTATCCTCCTTCCTGGGGGTTATGAAATGAAATCTTGTACTTAGAGTGCTGACACGGCATTCAATAAATGGTGATAAGAATTATAGTAGTAGCCCACCCTTACCGGAGCTTACTGGGAGCCAGGTATTGCTTTAGGAGCTTTATATTTATCAACTAATGTGTTCTTCCAAACAGTCCTACATGGCCCTGACCGGGTAGCTCAGTTGGTTAGAGCATCGTCCTGATATGTCAAGGTTGTGGGTTTAATCCCAGGTCAGGGCACATACAAAAATCAACCAATGAATGCATAAATGAGTGAAACAACAAATCAATGTCTTTCTCTCTCGTCAATAAAGAATTAAAACAACAACAACACAGTCCTATAGGGAGGTGATAATGACACAGAGAGGTGAAGTGACTATTATAATTACTGCTGTTGTTATTGTTATAAAATTTCAAGGCAGCTGCTACCTTCCCCAAGGAACTAACTTTAGTTCAATTCCGCCTGAGTCTCCTCAAGTCTGAAAGCAGTGGGCAGGGTCCCGCCATCCTTCCCACAGAAAGGGGCTCACCTTCACAATGACATCCATGACCTTCTGGTTTTCCCTCTTGGTTTCCCCGAAGGACCTGATGTTGAAGGAGCAGATCCGGAGGGCAAGGGCGCCGTTGATGGCGAGGAGGAGAAGCAGGGCAACCAGTGGCTGAGACATCCTGGCGCTGCTCCTGGGCTCAGGGCTGGGTCGGGGACAGCAGTGTCCCGAGAACAGCAGTGTGTGAAGTCCCAGCGCGTCTTCAGGCCACCTCCTCGCGCTCAGCAGACTTATAAAGCCTGCAGACAACAGGAATTACTGGATTCCTGGTTGCTACTTTCACTTCTCTGAGGAACTGAAGATCATGGGTTTCATTCCCTAAGGAAATGGGCTTGTCTGTTAGGATCCCCTGTTTCTGTCACTCTGGTGAGGAAATTGGCCTGCCTCATTTAGGCACCATCCCCGGCAAAGTCACTTGTATCTCCACCCGAGCCAACTCTGACATCTGGGAGCCAGCTGTGGCATCTGGTTATCTCTCCTGTGGTCCCCAAAGGCCTTGTGCCTTTTCCTGAAAATGGATAAACTTAGAAGTGGTGCGCCCCAGAGGGCACCTGGGGTGATGGAGCCTCCGGTTGGGGGGCAGGGAGGCAGGGGCAGGGGGAAATTCTGCTGTTTTCTGCCAGCACCGGGATTTGGCAGCCAGCTGTCCCTTGGCGCACCCAGGCTCTGATTCTGCAACCACTCTGATGGGCGTCATTAAGGTCAAGTCGAGTTCGAATGACATAATTTTTAAAGGCCGTTTTACTGTGTATACTTTAACACACCAAATGCTAGCAGTGTGCTGCCAGGGCGAGCGATCCCTGGTCTGCTAGGATGGGTCAGAGAAATGTCCTTGGGCTTTTAAGGACATTTAAAGCCCCTGGAGGGATCCAGGATTCAAACGGATGTGATGTTAAAACCTGTGAGAGCCATGTGGCCCCGAGAAAGAAGGTTTTGCAAGAATTGGAGGATTTCAGCTCAAGTAAATGGACTCTTAGAGATTTGGGCAGGAAGATCCGAAGATCTGCAAATCATAAGAAACATAAAGTTCAGTCAAGTTGTAAACCCAGGTGAGATTTCCAGACTTTGGCAAAGCAAATCCTTCTGTGAAGAAGGCAGATGATGAGCATAACTGGAAACCAGCGTTGGGATCTCTGGACCACCTCCTCTTGAAGTGATGGGCATGTGGCCGTAGCCCAGGGATGTATGTATATTGCCAACATACGTCCAGTCAACAGCCCGGACAAAATCTCTGGTCAGAACACCCAGGCATTCTAAGAAGATAACCCCAAATAGTACATGGAAGGATGTAAGGGTTTCCTGAGCTCCTGGTGAGCTGAATCCCCTGTTATCTACGGCCCAGACCTTGGGCCTGGGTGAATCTCTGGTGCGTGAAGCTCTGGCCAATGGGGTAGTGATTGTCAGCCTTGACAATTGGCATCTCCCAACTGGAGGAAGAATTAAGTGAGGCACACATTTTTTGTGTCTTTTAAGAAGGGATTTGTATATATGTGGTATTTTATAAACTTGTAACATTTTGGCCTATTGACAATCTTGTAATGCCAGCATAAAGTGTGCAATTGCTGGGGGGTGGGCATCGACTTAGATTTGTGACTTTAATTTGAAACCTGAGTTAAGGTACAGTTCTGGAACATTTATAAAAATTTTAGGTTGAGGCCTGGTAGCTCAGTTGGTTAGAGCATTGACCCAAAATACCAAGGTTTAGGGTTCAGTCCCCGGCCCAGGCTTATACAGGCCTTAAGCAATGACTGCATAATTAACTGGAACAACAAATCCATGTTTCTCTCTCTCTCCCTCTCTCCCCCCTCCTCCCTCCCTTCCTCTTTCTCTCTAAAATCAAGCAATAAAATTTTAAAAAAAATTTTTAGGTTAACAGTGTTTTATAAGTTCAATTTATTAGAGTTAGAATTATTTAGTATTAAAAAGATAGCTTTTTGTTAGTTCAGACAGTTAAAAAAACTTTACAAGAAAATAGGCTACAATTTAAACATTAAAAAAAGTTTTAAAATTTTGTAAATGGACCCATAAGCCCTTAAAAGTAATCATTTACATTTGCTAGATGCAGGGTTGATAGATGTAGCAAATAAAAATACAGAGCACGAAGTACATCTGACCTTTAGATAATTCGCATTTAATTTGGCATCCTATACCTGGCATCCTAGCTGGCCTTCTAAAAAGAATCAGAACTTTCATAAGCCGAACTGAAAAACATGACATTTTCCAAGGCAATTGCCACCTTGTCAAGGTCCTGGGGAAGGCTTTATTTTCATTCCCAGCGTGAAAAATCAGCTAACCTCTAAGGTGATCGAACGCACCTGTTTTTGCATTAACTTTGATAATTTAAATATTAATTTGAAAAATAAAATAAACCTCTGAAGAGTGGTTTCTGCATATAGCTATTGCCCTTGAGGACTTGAAAAAAAAAAAGTCACATGAACAGACCGAAGAGATTGGCCCCATTCTGTAATTAGCACACTCACTGCATGGAATTGGGCTTTAAAAAGTAGCTGGGTTCTGGAAGAAAAGCCCTATGCTTCAAAAATTCCTGTGCTGCATCTCACTCACTACTCCCCCAACCTCTTCCGGTGGCGCCTCCATTTCACAGATGAGCAAACCAAGGCTTGTGCCCAAGGATACACAGCTAGCATCTGGCAGAGCTGGAATTCAAACCCAGTCGCTGACTCCAGACCAGCCTTCTCCCCGCCAAACCAGGCAGAGTCTCAATAAGGAACTCAACGGCTAGAAGGACTTCCACTTTTTACTGCATGCACTTTGGTATCTGATTTTTTTTAAAAAAACATGCACTTATTTAGTAATTAAAAAAGAAAAGTGCTAAAAGCTTTTTATGTTTAAAGCAGATTAAACAATGTCCATGCCAACATGTCTCTGTGCAGCTAAGCCGTGGGCAGCTTTCACCCGGTTCCAGGAGTCATCGGCAACAGAGGGCCGGTGACAAGGCTGTGCTGGCCAGCTCGGCAAAACCGAAACCCTCCCTCATTCCCTGCTGGGCTGGTGTTGGGAACTGGAGAGTGTGAGGCAATCCCCTCAGGAGCCTGGGGCCTGGAAGGAAGGGCAGCCACTGCCTGACCCACGCTGAACACCGAGGGGTCCTTTCTTCTGCCGCCCAGTGGCTATGGATGGCATTTCCTGGGGCATGTACTTCCAACACTCGTCTACAGGATGCTCCTGAGAAATGGATAAATATATATCGCTTCTTTCTGGAGATTTATAATCCACATTCGCATATTAAATGTTCTGAAAAGTCCTGAATTTATTGTCAATGGAACCCTTTTCTTCATATAATCCCATTTAATATCTTGAGCAACGTCCACCTTGACAATTATAGGAATAGCCAGACCTTCAAGGCCGTAAGCTCAAGTTCTTGTCTTGCCAATCAGTCCCTACCAAGGAGTCCCATGCATGTCACATGAATGGGCAGAAATGCGGTCCAAGAGTTCAGACACATGGCCCCAAACGTCAGTGTCAGCCACGGCCATGCACCCCGGGCCCTGGTGGGCAGGAGTCAGGGGGGGCCCATACACTGAGGTGCAGGACACCTCAGAATTTGAGGAAGGCAAGATGGAGATTCCAGAGGGAGTAAAGGTGCCATGAGCTGAGTCACCCAAAGCAGCAACAAGAAACAAGGCGCCTGTGGGAAAGTCCCCGATACTGGCAAGCGATGAGTCCCGTGACCCAAACAGGTGTTTCCATGCGTGATGCTACCCTTCGTCTAACAAGGAATGAGCCCCAGCAACACGCTTATAATGTATGCCGGTCGCTCCAGTCATCTCGTTTCACAACCAGCTGGGGTTTGGCGCAGGGGAGGTATGTTACGTAAGGCTGCCTGAGGGAGACAGACCTCACCTTTGTCTGATGGTTTCCAGCCAATGAAGCAGGCCCTGGGTTTATTTATTTTTTAAAAAAAATACATTTTATTGATTTTTTACAGAGAGGAAGGAAGAGGGATAGAGAGTTAGAAACATCGATGAGAGAGAAACGTCGATCAGCTGCCTCCTGCACACTCCCTACTGGGTATGTGCCCGCAACCAAGGTACATGCCCTTGACCGGAATGGAACCTGGGACCCTTGAGTCCGCAGGCCACTGAGCCAGGCCCTGAGTTTAGACCTCACGCAGCATCTTCCACACAAGCCTTTCCTGGACCTCAAGCAGGTCCCTTTCTGGAAGGCAGGCCTTGGTGTGGCACTGCTCTGATGAGAACCCTTGGAACGATCTTTATCTGCCATAAAGGCCAAGCTCCTTACTGAGGCCTTTACCTATGCACCTCTTCAAGGTCACATGGCTCTACTCTCCTCTTCCTCCCCCACTGGGCTCCCCTCACACGGCCTAGCTTTCAGTTCCCACCTCAGGGCCTTTGCACAGCTGTCTCTTCCACCTTCAGTGCTCTCGCTTCCTCCCATCTCGAGGTCTCAGCTAAAATGCCACTTTCAGAGAAGCCTTGCTGGGCCCCTCAGCCCATCAGGCCCTTTCTTCTTACTGTCTTTCATGGCCTAGTTCCTCTGTTAATGTCTGTCTGCCTCCCAGACAGCTCTGTGGGGCAGGGACACCTATGTGTGTGTGCACTGCTTAGAACAGGTCTGGCATGTAGCAGGTGCTCAATAAATCATTGTTGAATTCCTGATATGATGCTCTGACTCCAGAACCCAGCTTCTCCACCACCTTGTGAGAGTGCTTACATGGTAGATCTATGACAATTTATTAAGTTTCTAACTAAAGGGCAGACTCAGCACAGTGTCTCAATCAGGGCGATATTCTGTCTTCAGTATGAACTGTGCACAGAATGGATTGCTATCACTATTTTACAGATGAGAACATTGAGATAAAGAAGTCAGGCTCCAGCCGCTGACTGTGAAGTGATATCAAAGGCAGGAATTCGGGTTCTCGGGATTGATTCTTTTGCCAACCCTTTCTTTATAGACTCAAAAGGGCACATTAACTTGGACCTTGTCTGGCCAATCGAAAACTCTGTGCTGATGCCGTTGCAGTGAATGGTTTAGATCTTCCAGGGGGACTAGAGTGAGGCGAATGGCACACTGGCCTCTGATGCAAAATGCAAGTGGGAGCTAAGCAACTCAAAAATCCAGATAAATAATATTTTAACGCAATATTCTGAATAACCAAAATTAATGCAGAAACATCCATGATGAACAAAGTCTCAACATCTTTAACAATGACAGAACCCAACCCTGAGCTTTCACGACCCTGCCTCATCCACCTCAC